CTTCAGGGATTATTGTATCAGATCTATTCATGCCAGGGCCTTATTCTCACTAGTTGTCTGGTGTAGAAAGTAGACACAGGATAATGATTTGGGGGGAAGTGTGATAGCAGGATAACAGAATCATAGATTCAGCACTGGAAGAGATCTTACAAGTCATTTAATGCAATGCCCAATTAGATTCCTAATAGAAACTGAAGTTCACAGATAAAGAAAACAAAGACACATATATATGAAGGAGAGAGAAGCGCTCAGAAAGAAGTGGCAGAAAGCAATAATAAAAAAAAATAATGATAATAGCTAACATTTACACAGCACCTACTATGTGCCAGGCACTTTATAGTCATTATCTTGTTTGATCCTCACAACAACCCTGAGACTATGACTATCTTCATTTAACAATTGAGGAAACTGAGGCAAACATAGGTTAAGTGACTAGCCCAAGGTCATATAGTTAATGTTTGAGGCTGGATGATGAAACTTTGCCTACTTCAAAGTTATACTTGGAGCTAGACCCACTTCCAAGCCTGTGAAGGTTAAGCAAGTATTATTATAATCCCCATTTTGCAGATGAAGAAGATGAGACACAGAGAACAAAGATTTAGAAGATATGGGCTCACATCCCTGTTCTCCCACATACTATCTGCAAATCACTTAACTTCTCTAGGCCTTAGTTTCATCTGTAAAACCAAGGATTTTTACTAGATAATCTCTGAGGTTCTTTTAGTTTGAAACTTATGATCCTAGGAGAGCAGAATGATATTTACCAGGGTCACACAGCTAGTTACCATCAACCAGCTCTTAGAGCTCAGGCCTTCTGACTCCATGCTTTTCCCGTTATACCCCCAGAAATCCCCTTGTTGTTTTCTCCCTACACATTTCCTCCCCTTGTAAAATGGTCAGCAAGGCCAAGTTCCCCAGTCCCATGAACCAAAGTCTCTTCCAACATGCCTAGGAGGCCAGCTAAAAGTGTGTGTGTATGTGTGTGTGTGTGTGTGTGTGTGTGTGTGTGTGTGTGTGTGTACATACATGTGTGCACACAATTGATTGCAAGCTGCCTAGCCATCAGACCAGGTTAATTCTAGTCCATACTCCACCCCACTTCAAGCCCCTCCACCTTTGTCCAGCACCAGCCTCCTCCCTGTTGCGATGGTTGAAGGCACAGACACATCCACAAGGCAGAGGACAATTAACCTAGGATACCTAATTGCCTCTCTAAACATGTTCCCAATCTGCATCCCTAAAATAAACCCCTGAAAGATGGAAAGATGTTAGTAATTTCTGGCCATATGTACTTCCCCCTTTTGCTCTCCCCCTCCTACCCAAAAGAAAAATGGGTAGAGCCAAATGGCAAGAAACAAAGATTTTTAACACACAACACATTTTCATCATTTTATCCCTCCTGCCCTCCCCGCCCCCTCTCCCACGTAAACTGCATTCCTCTACATGGTCATGGCAAAGGAACATTAATTTCTGATTTGGGTTGTGATTAACTTATAAAAGCAACTCAATCAAAAGGGCGAAATAGTTTCCACTGGAATAAGATCATGAGAAAGGCAGCGTGGCGCAGCGGGGGAGAGTAGTGGACTTGCAGTCAGAATAATTAATACCTGGGTTCAGATCTCAACTTTGCTGCTTGCTGCCCATGTGACCAAATCACTCCTCATCTCTTCATGTCAAATTCTTCATCCATAAAGTGAGGGTGCTGGGCTAAATGTTCAAGGTCCTTCCTAGCTCTTAATTCCATCGTACATTACACTGCACGTCTCTGTTAGAAGGAGGGAGGCTGCTGCTACATCTGGCATATTAGCCTAGGTAACGACTCCCTCTCTCCAAAACAAACAGCCTGGGCTACTGGTTTTTATCAGCTCTAGTCCACTGTTGGGGAAGGCTTATTTCCTGACTGCTAGGCCTTTGAGAAGGAACATGAAATTATCTTCCCCAAAGAAATTAACCGCCACTTTTTTTGGGGAGGGGAGCTGGGGTAAGAGGTATAAGGGTCTTTTCTGGTGCCCCCTTCAAGCCTGATGATCTAGGATATTTAGATATTAAGAGTGTTTGAAATCTTAGTATGGTTTGACCATTCAAGATAATTGAATGGTCTTATAATGGGGATATCTGGCCTGAAGAAGGGAAAGCCAAGCAGGGGCCTATCAATAGCCTCAAGGATTTAAAGGTCTGTCATGTGTGGAAGAGGTTTGAGGTGGGCAGGGGAGAAGGAGAGAGAGACAGACAGAGAGACAGAGAGAGAGAAGAGAGAGAGAAGAGAGAGAGAGAGAGAGAGAGAGAGAGAGACAGAGAGACAGAGACAGAGATAGAGACAGAGAGAGAGAGAGACAGAGGAACAGACAGAAAGAGACAGAGACAGAGACAGACAGAGACAGGGATAGAAAGAAATAGAGGCACAGACACAAAGAGATAGAGAGGAAGAAACTTGAGGTTGAGGCATAATAATGATGATGATGATGATAACAACTCACACTTGAATAGAACAATAAGGCTTACAAAGCATTTTTCTCATAAAAGAGAAAGTACAGGTGCCATTATTTTCATTTTCCAGCTGAGGTAACTGAGGCCAAGAGGCTAAATGACTTGCTCTTATACATATAGCTAATAAACATGAATGCAGAATTTGAACACAGGACCCCAGACTCCAAGACCAGGACTCTTTCCATGACACCACAGCTACCTTTAAGAACCCAAATTTTGTCCCCACATAGAACATTTGGACCATCAGTGCTCAGTGTCTGAAAATCTGTTGTTGTCATTTCAGTAGTGTCCAACTCTTCAGGAGGCTCTTTGGGGTTTTCTTGGCAGAGATATCCGAGTGGTTTGCCATTTCCTTCTCCAGCTCATTTTACAGATGAAGCAAACAGGGTTAAGTAACTTGCCCAGGGTCACACAGCTAGGAAGTGTCTGAGGCCAGTCATGAACTCAGGAAGATGTGTCTTCCTGACTCTAGGCCTAGTACTCTACATTCTTTAAAACAAAACAAAAACATGTTAGTGTGCTGAATTCATTCAGGGAATGGCAGGTTCAGAAATATTAAGGTGGAGCTTGAATCAGGCAGGCTCACCCCTCCCCATTCAGTATTATGAGAAGGAAGCAAGAAAATACCTAGGCAAGTGCCTGGTGTACCATGGGTAGTCAGATATATCTTGATTTGATTTAAAGATCCTCCACCCAAGTCCTCCTCTAATACTTCATTGTAACATGAAGGTGACTCTGGTTTCTTAAAGGCTATTCTAGCAGAAGGGAACAAGCATTTTTTAAGTTCCTACTATGTGCAGGTACTCTGCTAAGCACTTTACAATTATTATCTCATTTGATCTTCATAACAACCCTGAGAGGTAGGTGGTGTCATTGTTTCCATTCTAGAGTTGAAGAAACCAAGATGAACAGAAGTGAAGTGACTTGCCCAAGGTGATACAGCTAGGAAGTGTCAGAGGCTAGATCTGAACTCTGGTCTTGCTGATGCCAGGCCCAATGTTCTACTCACTGCACCACCTAGCTGTCAGAAGACAACCTCCAAAAGCTTTGAGTCTTGGGCTGTGTGTTGGATATCTGGGAAACATCCTTGCTCAAGTTCAAAGAGCCATATCTCCAGAAGGTTGAATAGCAGGTGATGAATTGCTTTGGACTCAAGAGCCCCCTGAAGGTCATTTGCTGAGTCGTGGAGGGTTTGAGGTTTGCATCTGGAAAGGGAGGGCCCCACTGATAAAATCCTGGATCTAGTGAAGTCTTGAAGTTTGGAAACCTTTGCAAACAAACCCTTGCCCAACAATGGGAAAAGAGTACCATGGGTGGGTAGAAGGGCCCAGAGAAAGAATCAGAAACACTGACTTAAGCTGGGACAATCCTCTTTCAACATGCTACACTCTCATGAGGCAACTGTCAATAGACAGATGTTCACTTGCAGTCCCCCATTTCAGCATAAGGTGAAAGAACAGCGGAGTAGCAGAACAGGTGATAACAGTCCCAACCACCAGGTGACACTTTCCAAATCTGTCATCCCTTTCATTCATTCTGCATTGCAGGTGTTGGGAGGAGTGAGGGAAGAAATGTACAGCACAAGCTTCCCAATCAACCATTTCACAAACTTTTAGCAAGTGCTTACTATGTGCTAATCACCCTGTTAAGTCTTAAGGATACAAATAAAAAGGGAAGAGTTCCTGCTCTCAAGGGGCTTACATTCAAATCAAGACGCCATTTACACAAATAGGCATATATCTCATCTATGCCAGCTTATATATCTTATATAAGAGAACGTTGTAGGGAAGGCTGCGATGCTGCCAGGTGGGGGTGGAGGCTGAGAAAAGCCTCCTAAAGAAGGGGTTATTTGAACTGAGTTTTAAAGGAAGCCAGAGATCCTAAGAGGGAGAAGGGAGGAAGGGAAGGAGAAGGGCATTTATGAAACACCTGCCTATGCTGGGTACCGTGCTAAGTGCTTTATGAGTATTACCTCATTTGATCCTTACAATGAATCCTGGGGGCTAGGTGCTATTACAACTCCCATTTTACAGTGGAGAAAATGAGGCAGGCAGAAATTAAGTGACACAGCCAGTAAGTGTCAAAGGGCAAATTTCAACTCAAATGTTCCTGACTCATCACTTAGCTGCTTAAGAGGTGGAGGTGAAGAGAGCATTGCATTCCAAGTAAGGGAGTCCGCCGCCACAAAAATGGGAGATCCATTCAGCTGTCATAAATCCAAGGCTGGGAATGATCGATGGGGGAGGGAAGGGCAGGACATAGTAACCAGTGTCATATTTGGCTTAAAAAAAAAAGCAGGTGTTCCTCCTAAATTTGTATGGCATTTGTCCATTTGTTCACCTTGTCTTGGTGGCCTCAGGTATGGGCAATAAAATATCCCTCTATTGCAGTCATAATTTTCGGTTGTGGGTTTATAAGAAAAATTCTATTCTAAAATAGTTTCTTTCCATTTTTTCTCCTTCTTCCCTTTTCTCTACTTTTTTTCTCTCCCCTTCTCCTACCTACCTCTACAGCGATAAGGATGAAAATAAAAGAAGTGAAAAAAGAAAATGGAGACAAAAAGATTGTCCCCAAGAAGAAGAAGCCACTGAAACTAGGACCCATTAAGAAGAAGGAACTGAAGAAACTTGTCTTGTACTTAAAGAATGGGGCTGACTGCCCTTGTCACCAGCTGGATAATCTCAACAATCATTTCCTCATCATGGGGCGGAAAGTGAAGGCCCAATACTTGCTGACGGCCATCCATAAGTGGGACAAGAAAAACAAAGAATTCAAAAACTTCTTGAAGAAAATGAAAAACCATGAATGTCCCACATTTCAGTCAGTTTTTAAATGATTCCCTCCCAAAGGGTGGGTTTGAAGAGGGGGGAGGGTGGGCTGGGCCAAGGGGTGGGGGGAGAACACAGCCCTGGAACCTTGGCGGTTCACACATATGGCTCCTTCTGTTAGTAATGGATATTGTGTCTATGTTGATTGTGTTTGTGTGTGTGTGTTTGTATGTGTATGTGTGTGTGTTCTGTAACCCCCTTCAAAGCTTCCACTTCTTTATCTTCCCCCTCACCACCCTCCCTGAAATCCCTTCTTCTCCATCCTCACCCCAACTTCGGAGACGAGTCAATATTGAAAATAAAGATATGGGGTCTAGGAGAGACCAGTGACACTGGAGAGCCATTTTAAGGCTTGCAACATCCAAAGCCCTGCAGTCACTGGCTAAAAGCAGGTACAGCTCCAATTCCACCAAGAGGTATGACTGTTCAGGTGGAAGTCTACCAGGGAAAGGGGTGGTGGCGGCCAAGGGACAAAAGAAAAAGGGAGGTAAAGCCAGTTTGTTTTGTGAATTAGGCAGTGAGAAAACCCTCCAAATGCCAAATTCTACAACTTTGGTTATTTAGCTGATAAAGTGCTCATGAATCCATCAGCAAAAATTCTACCCTGGGGGATGAACCAATTCTAGCTAGTCAATAAATCAAGTTGCACCTAATTATAGGTTATTTTCCTTTTCTATGTTTCTTTTTTTTTTTAAAACCTTTAAACTTTTTTTTAAACTTCAGACCAATAAAGTAATATTCTCAAAGAGGAAAATCTTTAAAATACATTTTGCAGTCCTGTCCCCTCCCCCCAAAGCAAGCAACAACACCACATCAATATATGCCCTCCCAAAAAAGCTCCCCCCCCCCCCCGATTTCTTCAATCACCTTTCCGAAGAATTCCTTCTTTCTGCAAGCAATGCCATCCACAGCTGCTCTCTGATGCCTTCTTAGTAAAGCTTCACGATGGGCCGGGGTGAATGGGCGAAGGTCAGATTTTCCTGCACTTCCTGTCAAGTGGGCATGAAGCTGCTGACATGAAACAGATGACTTTTTTTTCTTCAATGACAGCACTTTCAGACAGAGCCTGAAGGCAATACTTAGTGGTTCCAAAGAAACTTCTTTAAAGGGGGGAGTTGGAAAGCTGTTTTAAAACAGCTTTGCAAATAAGTACTCACCCAGCATAAATCACAGGTTGGCCTGAGTAAGGAGCACAGGGCTCTGACTTCACTAACTTTCCTGTTCATGTACCTCCTAGGGAGAAAGAGATCCGACGATTTTGTTGTTGCCGCATTAGTATCCAAGGCTTAAAAAAAAAATAAAAACATTCCCCACTCATTTTTTGTGGTTCAATGCAAAGGAGAGGTGAAGACAGACCAAGATTTCTGCATTGTTTTTAGGCCTTTTTCCATAGATGTGGCACTCTCTCTAGGACGCATTGGCTGGTTTTGCATTCAATAGTAATAGTCCTAGTAATAGCATTCATACAGTGTTTTAAGGTTTGCAAAGAGCATTACATGTAATGTCATTTGATTCAGACTGCAGATAAGAAGAGGTGGTTTCCTCATGGTATGAGCATTATGTTCTGGCTACATCTTTCTCTCTCCTTTTTAACTGTGGCCTCATAAAAGCAAATCAAGAAACACCCCACTTTAAATCTGTTTTTTTGAAGTTAAGCTGGAAGCTGGTTACTTGAAGTTAAGGTCCATTGAGTGGTTCAGTGGAAAATCAAATTAACCTTCCCATCCCTTCCCTCTCTGTTTTTCAAGGCCCTTGTTTCTACTCAGTGAATCTTCAGCTATCCCTAGACACATCCGAAGAGTACCACTCACCATGCCAGTGGTTTTCCCTCAGGCCCCTCAAAAGATTTTCTAGATTCTAAGTGTTTGATAAATTGTGTTAATATTTCACTTTTAAAAGAAGCTTCCTTTTCGTGGAACCTTCTAGAAGGACATTTATTTTTTTCCCCTTGTGTTTTCTCTGTTGTCCAGCTTACGGTGGTTAGTTACCAGACTTTAAAAAGTGAAATCAGTGAAGACTTCTGGACCTCCCAAGGCCTGTAGGTACAGAACTCTTATCTAGAGAGCTGCCTGTGTCTCCTCCAGAGTTGGGAAGCCAGGCTCTGGTTCCTCAGGCCAGAGACAGAAACACCTAATAGTCATTAGAACTTTTATAAGAATTCTATTTCAACCCTCCACCTGCCCTTTGGGCTGCCTGCTTAAGAGTAATCAGTCATCACAATATAATTAATGAATGACAGTATCTTTTGAACACCTGGCTCCCCTGTCCTTGATAAAATGTTGGGGAGGTTGATCTGATTCATGTGTAATATTTCAGATGAGGGTTTTGTGTTTGTTTTTGTTGGGTTTTTTTTTTTACACATGTATGTACATTAACTGACTAGAATTTTTTTTTAACTTTTCTGTTGTCACACTGAACTTAAAAGCAAGTCTATGACTTACATGGAGATAGATTTTAGATTTGATAATTGATTGTAAACTCAAGCATTTTTGGTCTGTCTGCCACTTCTGATCAAGTTGATAGCACCCAGGAAGATGTTTGTACAATGTGACAAAGGCTTCTTTCCACAATTATCTCAAAAAAAATTCTGATATAATGGTTAACACTAGTAGGAGAAAGAAGTTTATGGAAGAATGAGAGGCTACTTCCTGTCAGTCTCCATTAAGTGAGGATTCTAAGACAGTAAGTGACATTTAGGAAAGTGCTAAATAGTAAGAAAATGTGGTTTTCTATTTCTTATTGTTTTCTTTAGTCTACGAATGACATCACAATCACAATCTATGAATGTGACCTCGTCCTTCAAGTTCCTGTACTTTGGGCTTTTACTATGCATGTTACAGAGACTTTTAGTTTTATATATAGCAGCCAGCCCTGTCTGTGACCCTGCAAGCAGTTTCCCGAAAAGATGGAAGCTTTGCAAACATGTCCCCCTCCAAGGGCAGCCTTTCCATCTGAGATACTGGCATTTCCTGAAACCAGAGCAAACTCAAACAAACTTTTGAACAGAACTAGTGCTTGTATCCCTGAAAGTTTCCACTTGGAGATGCCCAGGATGAGATGTGATATCTATTGCAAGTTGACTTCAACACAAAAAGTTACAGCGAATAAAAATTTAAAAGACAACACCATCTGTCCTGTTTCCCTGCAATCATGAAGCCCTGTTCTGGTAATCAGCAGGGCTGAGAGGAAGCTTATAAAGATGTCAGAGCCAGCACCAGGAGAAGATAGTCTATGTGGTACAAGGAGAAAGTTGTTGGTCTCTTCAATGACACCTTGGTTTTATCTCTTGATACCATGGGGAGCTCTCCCCTGCCCTGGGACAGAAACCATCCTGAATGTTTGACCCCCCCACCTGCAGTAGCTCATACTGGGACACACCTAAAAAAAAATCTTAGTTTTCATTTATTTCTGCAAATTGCAATTTTCTACCTTCATAAAAAAACCCAAATAACAGCAAACAACCTGGAACCTACAAACCCACCGAAACAGAGCTCCCCTCCCTCCAGGACTCCAAATAGCCAGAAGAGTGCCCTCTACCATCTCCTTAGGAGTATCTATGCTTCCTTTGGTCACTGTCATCCTCATTCTCTGAGTATCTGTTTGCCAAGAACACTTCAGGCAACTTGTAGCAGGAAAGGACCAGCAGCACCCACCCACCATCTGCCAACCAATGTATGGAACATGGTGGTGAAGAAATTTTGTGTCCCTCTGGAGCCCTCAAATTCTCTTCTCTTTTCTACTCCATATCTGATATGAAAGCTTTGAATACTGTGAAGATGTTTTCCCTTCCATCTCATTTCAGTGTTGTTTTTTTTCAATCTGCATTATTTTACCAGATGTTTTGATGTTATCATTTATGTTAATAGCAAGTTCAATATTTGTTCATCTTATTCTCATGCTTTTCCTGCCATGTATCAATATTCACTTAACTAAAATTGCTCAATTAATCAAAGGCAATGTCATTTTTTTTTACCCACCAACTCCTTCCCCCCCAAAAAAAAACCAACTCAACTCTGCATTCCATTTTTGTAAAGATGCTCATTTCTGCGCTCAGCTGGATGGCTTTCCAGAGTGGCTTGGGGACTGGGGTGGATTTGAATGAACATTTGGGATCCACCGCAGGATGGACAGCACCCTGTGTATTTAGACCATCTGCCACTATTAATAACTTACAGAAGTCCTCCTGACTGCCCCTGTATTTCAGTTCAGATGGAGAACATCAAATCTGTGCTCTGCAAGAATACATTATCCAGACCTGCTAGAGTTTCTTTTCCATATTTTTGACTTTAAAGTTTGCCTTCTCTCTCTTGGTTATGCTGTTTCCAAGAGTTTCCTTTGATTTGCCCTGTCCCCAGAATCACAGAATGGAAAGAGACCTCCAAGGCCTTGCAGTCCAACCCATCTCAGAAAAAGAACTCCTCCCCTACAAATATACCCACCAAGTGGTTGTCCAGCCTTTGACTAAAGATCTCCAGTGAGGGGCAACCCATTCTCCTTTGAGGTAGCCCATTCCAGTTTTGGACAGCTTTAATCATGCTGGTTTTTCCTTACGTTAAACCTAATTTTGCCTCTGTCCAACTTCTGCCCATTCTTCCTCATTCTTTCCTGTGAGGCTAAGCTCAACAAGTGGAATCCTACCCTTCAAATACTGAAAGATAGTTATCATTTCCTTCCTTTAGTTGTCCCTTCTCCAGGCAAAAGTCCCCAGTTCATTCAATGGATCCTTATACATCCCAGATTTAAGGCCCTCTATCAGATGCTCTCCAGCTTACCAATTGCCCTTCCTAAGCCATGGCACTTGGGGCTGGGTACAGTCCTTTAGTAAAGGGCTCACCAGGACAAAGTCCAGAAAAACCTGCCCGCTTCTGGAAACTATTCCTCTCTTAATGCTGTTTAAAGTCACATTAACATTTTTTTGTTGCCATAGCATTAAAGGGGGGGGGGCTAGGATAGTATAAATCTTGCATTCACTAAATGTCATCTTGACTACTCGCCTCCCAAGTCAGTGGAAGCAGTATTGAAGACTTCCATCTTTCCTCTGGAAAGAAGGAGGTAAGGGTCCATTGTATTCTGGCCCATAGTCTCATGATTTACTTCCCTCACCATGGCCAGTCCTGGGTGGTGTCCATGCAAGCCAATAGCGTCGTTGTTAAGCTGAAAAATTTGGTCAGTTCATGTGTTTGTTCACTAGTGAACAATTAATTTGGATTAAAATCATGGAATATTAGAGATCACCTCACCTATTTATTTTACAGAGGAGGACATTGAGGCCCATAAAGGGGAAAGTTACATAATCATTTAGTGGCAGAGATGGGACCCTGACCTTATTACTTCTAACCCTGTAGTTATAAATGCCTACACTTATTTGGACAGATCTGCCCCATGTTAGACCTTGTTCTAAGCTGCAGAAGTTTCCAATACTGCAGTCAATTCTTCAAAGTAATAGCAGCAACATATCTGTGGGTGCAGTTCCTGAATTAATAGAGCAATCTAAACTTCAAATTCCTCGCATTTTAAAGTACTGAAAAATAGCACAAAATAACATGGGGCAAATCTTCCTCAAATGACCCAGAATGTCCCACATGCCTTAGTCAGGTCCAGTGCCCTTTCCACTCGACAACACTGCTCCTGTGTACATGTTTCTACAGACTGGTGAGTTTGACGGTAGTTTTGCAATCCAGCAAGTTAGAATATCCCCTTTTCCTTTTAACTTCCCTCTATTTAGCATCTCTCCCCTGAAGTCTTCTTCCTCTGCCTCATCTCAGAATGGAGGCAAGCCTGAGGTCTCAAAGATAGAGGCCACAAAGTATAATCTCCCAGAGGTCCTGCAAAGCCTCAAAGGGCTTTGAGTGTGAGCCAATCAGTGACGGATGATATCATCTGCCATGCCAAGACAGCTAACATGTCTAAGTGCAGAAAGCCTCATCTCTAGAAGCTTGGGCACCAGGGGAGGTATTTTGGATCACTGCAACTCACAACGAGCAACAAGGTGGCAACTGGAGTGCCAGACCTGGAGTCAGGAAGACCTGAGTTCAAATCTGGCCTCAGATACTAGTTGTGTGATCCTGGGCAAGTCACTTAACCCTGTTTCCTCATCTGTTAAATAAGCTGGAGAAGGAAATGGTAAACTATTCCAATATCTTTGCCAAGAAAACCCCAAATGGGGTCATGAAGAGTCAGACACCACTGAAATGACTCAAGGACAACAGTAACACCTCAGTAGACAAGATTCTCCATTATCCCACAAAAAAAGCACAAAAGAATATAATAAAAGTACTCCTATAACATAATTGTAGAACTTGTCTTGGGACCCATCCAAAGGAGTTAGTTCATGCTATTTCTAAATCACTTGGTTCTATATGCAGTGGTCTTGCCTTTAAGGAAGTCCCATGGCATTAAGCATAGAGGATGCTGTTACAGACAGGAAGCATGATCATGACAGTTAATGGCCTTGAGACCATGGCATATGAGTATCAGCTGAATTATCTTGGAGAAGAGAAGTCTTAGTAGGGGACTTGGTAATTTTCTTCAAGTACTTTAATGGATGTCAATGGAAGAAGTATTAGTCTTATTCTGCTTGGTTCCAAATGACAGATCCAGGAGCAATTGGGTTAAAATGCAGATAGTCAGACAACAGTTAGAGCTCTCTAGCCATGAAATGGCTGCCTCTAGAGGTAGTAACTTCTAATTCTTGAGAGACCTTTGAGCAAAGTCTAGATGCCCGCTTCTTGAGAGTGCTCTAGAGGGAATGGATTCCTATTGAGGCTGTGCATTGGACTCTACGATCTTCTGAGATCTTCTGTGTTTCTGTCTCCTATTTACTACTTCTATAAGAAAAAAGAAAATATTTGCCCAAATATAAAAAGCATATAAAATTTGAAGCTGGGAGAGAAAGTGATTATTTTTTGCCTTTTCCCCTCGTTCACAATTCTTTAGCATTTTTCATACTAGAATAGTAATTTTCTATATACATATATATGTTATGTATAATATATATGCACATATTTATACATACATTATATATACATACATATACACATTATGCATACATGCATATATATACATACATATTTAAAAATCTATTTATAGGATTATTGATGGAAGGGAAGTGAGAAGTCATCTAGACTAGCCTCCTCATTTTACAAATAAGGAGGCTAAGGCCCAGAGAAACACAATAATTTTCTTAAGGTCACAGAGATAGTAAACAGCAAGGCCATGATTCCAAGCCAGGTCTTCTGATTCTAAATCCAGTACTCCTTCCACTAAACCATACTGCCCTTCTCATGAGCTGTAGTGGTTAAGAGCAGTAGGATTAAATACAAACTCCAGCCTTATAGCTAAACCCTAACCTTTTCCCAGAAATAGGGTAAGGATCATAAGATCATAGCTATCAAATTGGAAGGGAACTTAGAAGTCCATCCCCTTCATTTTGCAGAAGAGAAGACTGAGGCACAGAGAGGTTAAAATGACTTGCTCTAGGTTGCACAATGGAAGAGCCTTGCAAAGACTTGAGAATTGTATCATCTGTTTTGTCCCTACGATTGAGAGCTTTGAGCCTTTACTATAACACATCTGACTTTAACACATTCATTCATTCATTCAAGACATTTACCAGTTTTCTACTGTGTGTAGAGCACTATGCAAAGTGCTGAAAAAAGCACAAAATTTAGATGGGACATGGTCTCCGTTGTCATAGAACTCATTATAGAAGGAAGAATAAGACATACAATATAGACAACTATTATAATCCAGGACTTTGGAATATTATGGACTGGATTTAATCCTTGGGGTTGGGGGAACAAATAAAGAGGGTTAGTTTCCCTTAGCTCATTTCTCTTATCTATAGTTTATTCCATGAAAATCTCCAAACATAGCTTGTGTATAGATTTCCACATATATGGTTGACAGGAGATCCCTAGGTCCCTTAAAATAACTCGAGGTAACAAATGTATGCTGTATATAAGGACAGACTTTGTTTTATCCCACTAAAATTCCAGAAGATACAAAGGACTAATAGGAGCCCAGATATGGATGAAGAAGGCACATAAGTCAAAAGACCCACAGGAGCTAACCCTAACAAACCTAACAATAAGCATGAATAAGAATGACTCCTATGGAGTGTGTGTGTGCGGAGCTCAAGCTCTCTTTTTGCTAGTAGTGGCCAAAGGAAAACATACTGTAAGACAGTGTTTGTGAGGGCAAAGAACAAATCATTGAAATAATAAAAAATGTCATTAAAGATAATGACAATAACCCTAATCCTAACTCTAACCCACAGAACAGAAAGAAAAAACACAAAATACCCAAAAAACATAGAATTATTGGTTTAGAGCTAGAAAGGACCCTAGAAGACTTTGAGTCCAAACTCATTTTACAGATGAAGAAAATGAGGCAGAGGGGGGTAAAAAGACTTGTCCAAAATTACACTAGAAGCAAGCAGCAAAGCTGAGATCTGATCCCAGGTCATTTCACTCCATATCCAGCCTGTTTTTCCAGTGCCCCATGATACCATACCCTCAGAAAGAGCTGAACTTGGGGTTGCTGGTGGAGCAACATAGTGATGAATCTCTAGTTCTCTTAGAGGGCTTCATATAATCCCTCCCATATTTGAAAAGCCATCTATAAATAAGACTTCCCCTAGAAAGTATACATACACGGGTACCACTATCTAGGCAACTGTATTTGAATTGGACGTGCACTGCCCAAATAACTGCAATATCAGGAGGTAGCGAAGTCCTGTTGTTTCTCCTCCCACCCTCTATTTCTTGGTGTGATGGGGAAACTAGAACCCAGCCCTTATGAACATGAGCAATGTGTTCAGCTTGATGGCATCCTCAATATGTACTTCAGTCTTCTATGACTGTCTGCTGTCCACTGACTGCCAGGGGAAGAAAGGGCCTCTTTACCTGACTGGTGAGGTGGTACTGAGCATGCATAGGAATGACTCCTACC